TACCCCTAGGGTAACACAGAAAGATCTGCTCACATATGGGAAGAAGAATTTTAGAATACAAGGTATAGGGGTGCCTGGGTGGCTCAGTGGCTTAAGCCTCTGCCTTCAGCTCAGGTCATGATCCCAAGGTCTGGGTTCGAGCCCCACATCGGGCTCTCTGCTCAGCAGGGAACCAGCTTCTCCTTCTTTCTCTGCTTGCCTCTCTGCCTACTTGTGATCTCTCTCTCTCTGTCAAATAAATAAGTAAAATCTTAAAAAAAAAAAAAAAGAATACAAGGTATATGCAGTATTCCCATCTAAAAGTAAGAAAGGACTTCGGCCATCGTAATAGTTAACACACAGATGTTATGTACCCCTTCTTGGCTAATCATACCCCCATGCATCAGTCAGTATCTGGAGGGAGGGCCATGTGCCCCCTCCAGCCATGACTGGAGAGGGGCACACTCTCTCTGTTGCTCACTTTGCAACAGATTGTAGCAGACTGACTCTTACATATGCCCAGTTCAGTGGAATTTGCAGATTGTAATGTCTGATGCAAACTAAATTAACCCTCCTTCGGGAAAAAAGGACAAATGACCTAAAAAGATTTCTGCAAAGAAACAGCAAGAAAAGAGCAGTGCTTCCCCCTAATCCTAGGACATGATTTCATGTGACATTTCATAAAGAGAAAACAAGGGCTCTCTGTTGAGTGCTGTGATTGTGGTTTCCAAAAACGCAATCTCTTTCATCAGGATAAAGGTGAACTTTAAACAGTTGTTGAGGAAGTAACTTTTTTGGAAGGAAAATAATATAGAGAGCATTTAGAAATAAAATTTGAAAGCGTTCCCATTGTTGCAAGATTTTGTTGCTGAAAATCTTGTGTGTGCCATGATCTTTCATATTGGCGCCTTAAAAAAAGGAGTTTTTTTAAGTTGCTTAAAAATCTTCCAAATGAAGAGTTTGAGTGGGTTTAAAATCCATTTGCTGGAAGTATTAAAATGCAACATATTCCAATTTCTTTGCAAGAACAACTGATTGACATGAGAGAAGATGGAAATTTGAAAGTCAATTTTGAACAAAACCTTTGCATAATTGGTGGATGGCACTGAAAACTGAAAAATGAATGTCAAGACTTAATGAGTGGAGCCCAAAATGCACCCCACCCATCTGGATCCAGGTATCTCGGTGAGGCCCCCTTTTCAGCTGTGACAGCCTTGAAACCTGAATATTAAGTAAACCAAATTTAGTACCAGACATTCAAGTCACTGCTCTACAAAGTGTTAAACCAGGCTTTTCAAAAATAAAGAAGCATCTTCAAAGGCATTGCTCTTGCTGTGAGAACAAAAAAAGGGATTCTACACCATGATTAAATGAAAGGCCATAAACATGACTTTAAAACATGGTTTTTATTTATTACATTTTTCATTTCTATGTATATGGCTTTATAATATACATGATATAATAATATACATGATATCTGATTTGTACATATATGAATAATGTACATGATGCATTTTGTAATGTCCATAGGTTTATGTAATATACATACTAACATATATTCATGTATACAGTTCATGTATATAAAGTTCTATGTATATAATTTATAAATTCGTAGTTACCAGGGGTGCTCAATATTTCTTACTGATGGGATGTATGAATGGTAAAGTTTGGGTTCAAGGATGTCTGCGGGGCCGGGGACCCCCTCCTCTAGCTCTGGCATTAGAGACAGCATGGGGCGTCCTCTGTCCTGGGTAGGGGTATTCATAACAAAGATGTTCCCGGACTGGGCCTCACCTGGCCTGCAGGTGGAGTTTCAGGCATACACATTTTGTAGCTAAGGAGCCAGAGGTATGGAAGAGTAAGACCTGAGCCCACCCCACCTTCTGAGGGCAGTCCCTTCATAAGGACCAGAACGCCTACCCCTGCCTGAGAAGGACCTCACTCCTGTCTTCCTCATCCCTCCCCCTGTAACAGCGGAAGGAAAACAAAACTATTCTCCTCCTGCTCAGAGGGAATCAGGAGGTCTTGAGACGGTAACTGTCTTTCCTGGAGCATCACAGCAAATTGGCAATGGAGACTAGGTGTGAATTCAGGGATCCAGAGGGCCAGGTCCAGCCTTTTACCTGATTTGGCCTCTCTGGACCTTGATGCAGAACCTGGTTTTTAGGTACCAAAATTCTAACTATCATCTCTATTTGGGAAGCCCTTCCTGCTCTTAATTTTGGTCTTGCATGCTGCAAATAAAGCCTAGAATGTTCGGGATGCTAACCACTCAGGTCAGTTCTCTGCCCCCACCGTAGCAAACAACATCCCTCCCCAGCATCTTTCGCATCTGTCTTAACCCCGAAGAAGAAAGAGTTCCAGAGAAAAGTGAGGCCTGTCCCTGTGCCATACTATCATGGCAAATACCTTTATATGGCACAAATGAAGCAAATACCTTTATATGGCACAAATATGTTCATGTTATTCCTCCCCTGGTCCTACTCTGCTTCAAAGCATCCCCTTGTATCTCCACTGCCCACAAAAGAACAGCCAGGCGGCTTAGGCCAACCCACATACCCTTCTCCCCCGGCCCAGCATCACCCACTGGCAGGAAGCAGAAACCACACTAGCTAATTTAAGCAGCAAGGAATTTCATGTGTTCTGTGCTTACAGAATCATCAGAAAGCCTAGAGGAACAGGCTGCACCTGCAGGAATGGTTCCCAGGAAAACATGAGGCCCCCGCTTAGGAACTGCTCCCTCTGCCCCCTTCAGGAAGGTAAAGAATCAGGGGCTACCCAACGTCTGTTGACCTCAAGAACCATCACCTCACTGATTCAGGATCAGGAAGTTGTTTCAGCAACAACCTCTCCACACCCATAAAGCCCAACCCTGGATGCCAGAAGACAGGAGCCCCAGCATCCCAGTGTCTCCCCAGCCATGCTGGACCGGCAGCAACAAGCCATATTCCCAAGACCACACGACTGACACAACCTGTTGTCTAACCAGGACTTCAGAGACAAAGGAATGTGAAAAATACAGAAAAATGCATGTTCTGCCTTTTTGAAAATCAATCAACATACTCCATCCCACCCACAAGCTGAAGAAGAAAAATCACACAATCATATCCATGGCTGCATTTCTGTCCCACCCCCTGGGAACACTGATCATGTCAGGGGGAAGGAGAGGAGCAGAGAGAGGTTGGGAGAGAGGCAAGGTGGCATGGGGATGGCAGCTGAGACTGGAATTGGTGTTCCTAGGACTGGCTGAAGGTGTAGGAAGTAGCCAAATGTAAACAAAAAAGCCACACCTTCCAAGAAAGACTATGACCTCAGGCACAGGGTCATAAGGCTGGGGGGGCCGCTCGGCCCTGAATTGCTGCCACAAAGACTGCCCTTTGTGCCAGCCCCCAGGGTTAACGGAGAACCCTACAGTCCTGACCCAGCACGATCAGCTCCCTGTGACCTGCCCTTTCCACAGGTCCCTCTCCTCTCCGCCAACCCCCCTCTCCCACGCACTCCCCATCCCTGCCCCCCATCAGGAGCTGCAGGGCCGTGAGGGAAGCCGCTGCGTGCCATGCACCCTGGCTTATCGCTTGCAGCTTGCATCCTCCCCACTTTCTTTGTCCAAAGACACAACTGCTCACCATGTCACATGCCCGCCAGGCGCACAGATGTCCAGAGATGACTTTCAATGCGGCCATCAGGAGGGACACCTTTTTATAACTTTGCCAGCTGGGCTCCCTGGCCTCCCATGACCCTGGTTCATCAGGCCTCCACGAAGCCACGGGGTGTCAAAAACTTTAAGGCTGGGGTGCCTGGGTGGCTCAGTCAGCTAAGCATCTGACTCTTGTGTTCGGCTCAGGTCAGGATCTCAGGGTTGTAGTAAGATCCCACCAAGATGGGCTTCGGCTCAGCGTGGGGTTGGCTTGGGATTGTCTCCCTCTTCCTGTCCCTCCCCTTCTGCAACCCCTCCCTCCCCACCCTGCTCACAGGCTCATGCACTCTGTCTCTCTCTTAAATAAATTTTAAAAATCTTAAAAAAAGAAAACTTAAAGGCCAAAAGCATTTCCCTTGAGCAAAATGGGGGCACTGAGCAGCCCACACGCCTATCCCCGAGACCAGCCACTGCTGGGATCACCGCGAGTCCCTGGGCTAGAGACTTGGCCGGCTCCCTCACTGCAGACCAACCTACCCAGACCTGTCCCAGTTCTAGCACCAGGGCCTTCCCCCACCATGACAGGATGCCCTCTCATAACACCCTGGGACCCCGGTCCGGAGCAAAGAGGGAGTTGGGGCCAGGGAGAAGGGATGCTTAGACTTCTGGTCTCTCTGCCATCACCCTCACAGGGAGCTTCTGCCCTGGGGCACAGACCAGACCATGCAAAAGACTAGCTGTGAGTGAATTAATGAAGTGAAGCAAAGCTACACGCCCCTTCTCAAAGTCCTCCGGACACTCAGAGCCTCCTTCCCTTAAGTCAGAAGCCCTATTCCCAGGCGAAGAAGAAAAAAAAAAAAAAAAGAAAATGGAAGATCTATGCCCAGTCTTAGTTCCAGTGGACCCCTACCCTACGCCTGCCGCAGGGCAACCCACCCCGGACAGCACAGGAGGGGGGTGGGGGAAGGGGCTCCTGCCCACTGGCATCCTGCTTTCCTAGGCCAGCTCCTTCACTGTCTGCTCGTTCTGCACCCCGTGGTGCTTTCCCTGGCTGGCACATGGTGGGCGGAATGCCCACATCGCCCCTTAGTCCTAACAAGGCCCTGTCCCCATGACAGAGCTTGTCTCTAGCAAGCAGGACTCCACTGACCATGCGGTCCATGGACCCCTCTTCCCGCCACAACACAAGGCAGTTAGGAGGGGTGAGTGGGACAGGCAAACAAGAAGCTTGGGAATCACGTATACACACACACACGCACACACACGCACACATGCACACAGCCCCAGCAACTGCCAGGGCTGGTGCCCGTGCCAGCCCCACCTGAGCTCATCAGACACAGGCGGGGCGGGCCTGCAGGCTATCAGCCACGTGTAGGGCCTGGAGGGGAAGAGGGAGGGAGGAGAGCCGTCTGCTCTTAAGGCAGGTCTGGAGGTGAACCACACCTCCCCTTACTCCACACCTGGACTTTGAGCAGCCTTGGTCCCAGGAGCCAGGAGTGAACACAGCAATCTGCCTGCCCGGACTCCAGGTACGTGCCTTTATTCTCCAAAAAGAGAGGGAGATTCAGCACCGATGCCAACCTGACGCATTTAACCCTTTGTCCTCAGCTTCTCCACCTGTCCTGGGGGCTAGAAGTCAAAGCAGAGAGAAAGGGAAGGAGGCTGGAGATGAGAGAGGTGGTCTCAGGACCACAGACCCTGGAGGTCAGTGCTTTAAGAGAATGAAATCTATGCCCCTCAGGGGACAGATGAGAGAACCAAGGTCTGGGGGGCAGGGAGAGGGGTTTGGAAGAGGCTTGCCCGAGGTCACAGAGACTTGGGAAGGGAATGGACGCAGAACCTAGGCCTCCTGCCTCCCAGCGCAGAGCCCAGAGCCTGGCCCTGAGTGCTCCCCCCTGACCCCTTTTCACCCGTGCTGGGCCCTTCCCAGGCTGCCAGGAATCCAGGGGTGGGGGCTGTGGCCAGGTTCTGTTTCACTAGATCTGGGGGGAGGGGATGAAACAATCCGAAGGCACTTGTAAAGGATGGGGGGAGGGAGGCAGTGGAGTGGGCTACTGAGGCAAAATGCTTTTGAGGAGGCTCAGGCTTCACCTTCTGTCCCCTCTCCCTTCCCTGACCTGGGCTTAAGATAGGAGGGAGAGAGTAAGTCAGTGAAGTGGAAACGGGAGTTTGCCAAGGTTTCAGGATCTCTGCCTCCGGAGCCCTTGGGAACAAAGAAAGATATTTGAGTCAATCTGAAGGGGGAATATACGGGAGAGACCTGTGAATAGGGCAGAGCTGGCTGGAGCCCTCCCATGTACACAGGCAAGTACACACGCATACACACACGCCGCCCCCCCGCCAAAGTCTGGAGCCCCAGGGACACTCCCCTCCACCTTAGAGCAGGAAAGAAAGAGCTAGAGAAGTGGACTGGAGAGGGTGCCCAGAAAAAAGGAATGAGACGCAGACTCAGCCCCACAGCACTGGTGGCGTGATTCGGGGAGTAATCAAAGGGAGGAGAGCTTGAACAAGAGCCTGAGTGCCTGCATTTTGCTCAATCCCAGGCCTGTCCAGGTTTGTCTGGAACCCTGTGTGGGTTCCAGAACCCCAGAAGGGGCAGACGTGAAAAGGGTCTTAAATCTATGAAGTAGCGATATAGGGTTAAGAGTTTGGGACTGTGGGGGCGCCTGGGTGGCTCAGTGGATTAAGCCTCTGCCTTCGGCTCAGGTCATGGTCTCAGGGTCCTGGGATCGAGCCCCGCATCGGGCTCTCTGCTCAGCGGGGAGCCTGCTTCTCCCACTCCCTCTCTGCCTACTGCTCTGTCTGCTTGTGCTCTCTCTCTCTGTCAAATAAATAAATAAAATCTTTAAGAAAAAAAAAAAAAGACTTTGGGACTGTGGAGCTACGAGCCCAGGTTCAAAGCCACTGGGTTCAAACCCGCGTTCCACCAGTGGATTCTGCAGGTTCTGTGACCTTAAGCAAATCCCTGAACCTCTCCAGCACCACAGTAAAAGTACCCTCCGCACAGAACCACTGAGAAAATGTAGCAAGTAAATTTAAAGTTGTTATTATTATATCCCCATCATACAGATGGGACAACTGAGGCCTGTAGAGGAAAGGGTAGCACAATAGCAGTTTCCAGTCAGTAAGCAGGCATCCTAGATTCTGGTCCTGAGTGATGACCCAGGCCCCCAGTGTGCTCTCCAAGTCAGTAACCTCCTCTGCGGGGCCCAGCCAAAAACCCTACAGGATGCACCGAGATCCTGCCCCAAGAAACCCAGACCCCTTGGAGGATGTGCAGAAAGAGCCACAGCTCCGTGTCCTCAGCTGCCCCCAGGAAGTTGCTCGGAGGCCTAGTCCCTTCCACTGCCATTTATAGACAGGCCAGTGCCTGGGACGCACTGCCTGCTCCAGGTCTCAGCCGAGGAGAGGTCTGGCAACAGAGCCTACAGGAACCATGGGGGACAAGGGAGCCTGGCTTTTCCCATTAACTTAAAATGCAACCTCAGGCAAATCATATGCCCTCTCTGGACCTTAGATATCCCTCCGCATTTGAACCCCATGAGGTATATGGAGTTAGGAATCCAGGTCCCTTCCTCCAGGAAGTCCTCCCTGACCTCTGCACCAGTGCTACAGAGTCTCCTCTGTTTTGCCCCTCCATGGTAACACTGTTTATAATTGCTCACCTGCTTACTTGTCTGTTTCACTAACTGGCCCACACACAATAGTAGATATTAAATGCAGGGTTCCTGACATCAGGCAGCCTAAGGTCCAGGCCTGCTCTGACACTTGTATGACACAGCATGACGCTTGGGCAAGTCACTAACCTCTGTGTCTCTCCATTCACACATCATAAAATGCAAAATAATAGTATCTACCTCAGAGGGTTGTTAGGAGGAGTTTAAAAGACTTTATGTGTAATATAGGTGCATAGTAATCGCTCAATAAATATTAGCTGGTATTTATTTAATAAAGAAGGCTGTAACAGAGCAGATATTCGGTAACCTCTGTTGAAGCGATTTTATTTGACAGTCACCTGCATAGTGCTTATTACGTGCCCTGCGCCATCCTAAGCATGTTACAAATCTCAACATGTTTTATAGTTAGGGAAAACTGAGGCACAGAGAAGTTAATTAACTTGTCCAGCATGGCACAGCTAGTAAGTGGTAGAGCCAGAATGCAAACCCAGGCAATCTGGCTCCAGTACCCATGTTTTTAATGAATGAATAAACATGCCTTTGCTTGGGGAGAGGAGTGGGAGGAACTTCAACTACCAAAGTTACTCAGTTCCCAACCCTGACCTCTTTCAGATTCTGGAAGCTCCTGGTTGGCAAGTGACATATCTGGGGTGTAAGTGAGGCTGGTTTGAAGCTAGAGGCAAACAGACAGCCACTGCCCCCACCATGTCACAAGTGATGTCCAGCCCCCTGCTGGCAGGAGGCCATGCAGTCGGCTTGACTCCCTGCGAAGAACCCAGGAGGACCCTGCACCCAGCAACCAGCCCTGGCCTGCCACCCCAATGTCCTTACTACACCACAGAAGGCTGGGGAGCCCAGGGCCTGATGGCTCCTACGCCTTTCAAGGGGTCCCCCAGCAGGCTCCAACAGGGCCCAGAGACTGGAGCCAAAGCCAGCCGCCTCCTACAGTCCCCCGCTGAGCAGACCTCGGGGACCCTGGAGGACCTCAACTCCTACATTGACTTCTCACTGGAGAGCCTCAACCAGATGATTCTGGAACTGGACCCCACCTTCCAGCTGCTCCCCCCAGGAACTGGTAGCCCCTGGACTGAGCCCACCCAGAGCACTACCTCAAGGAAAAAGAAAGACGACACTGAAGCCTTGGGTAAGGATCTGGGACACAGTGCCAGGAGGGGGTGCCTGGGGACCAGACCTCATGAGGAAGAAGGACTGTTCTATCAGATCAGAGGAGTAGGAGACAATATCCTGTTGAGAGGTGCTGTGCAGCCCTGAACAAGTTACTTATCACTCTTTTCTTTCCTATATCAAAGAGATATATACAGCCTATTTCCTATATCAAAGAGATATATACAGGCTTCCCTCACTTTTCAATGCTATTTTGTCCCTAAGTTTTATGTTTTATGGGATCTTTCAGGAACTTTAAATAAGCTAATGTGTGTGTGTGTGTGTGTGTGTGTATATATATATATATATATATATATATATATATTTGAATGTCATACAATGCCATACATGTAAATAAGAGCTCAAGAAATGTGGAGTCCCTGAACCTCACTGTTCCACAGTAGATCTCTTTAAATCCTAACCTGGGTCCCCTGAAACTTTCATAGAATTGCTCTCTGGGCCTCTGTCCCTTTTTAGGGGTTATCTCTCTGGAGAGCTGGAAGCAGTAGGGTTGGAAAAACACAGAATTCAGTCTGTTTAGGGCGGAACCCTGCTGTGGGTAAGCAGTGGTGTGCTGGTAAAGGTTTAACAACAAGCTCCATGCTGGGGTGCTAAAGGCTCCAGCTGGAAACATCTACCAAATTTCATGGGATAGACTCTCTCACTATGGTCAGTCTCAGGCTACCAGCTACCACCAAATGTAGCACTGGAAAGAGATAACCTGTAGACGGCCATTACGGTATATACAGTATTTCTACCAAATAACCTCTGGAGTATAAATCGTACTGGAGCACCTGACTGGCTCGGTCGGAAGAGAGTGTGACTCGTGACCTCAGGATCATGATTTCGAGCCCCATGCTGAGGGTAGAGAATACTTAAATAAATAAAATTTTATTTTTTAAAAGATTTTATTTATTTATGTATTTATGTATTTATTTATTTGAGGGAGAGTGTGAGCACATGAGGATACAAGGAAAGGGAGGGGCAGAGGGAGAGGATCTCAAGCAAACTCCATGCTGAGCATGGCTCAGTCTCACGACCCTGAGATCATGACTTGAGCGGAAACCAAGAGTCAGACACTCAACCAACTGAGCTAGCCAGTGCCCCCCAAAAGAAATAAAACTTAAAAAAAAAAAAGAACCCAGATAATAGCAGCATCTAGTTAAATAACTGGTATATGATGAATTGTATTTATTACTTTTGTTTTTATTGTAAGTTATTTCATTGTAGGCTTATGTAATTTAATTTCTAATAACATCTGAGTTTAGAAATCAGCTGGACAAAATCCTAAAAATTTAACAGTCTGCTCTTGCGAGCTGGTACAAGTCGGCTTCAATACACCACTGCATCCAAAGGAGTCTAGAAATCTCTACACCTGGTGTCAGTTTCCCAAACAAAGGGTCTCAGGTATATTCTGAGGATGAGGGTCAAGGAGCAGCAGTCCCATTAGACAGGCTAGAAGACTGAGGTCTCCGGGATTTTAAAGGATCAGCATGGATTAAGGGGTACAATGAGAATCAGTGATAGGGTCCATGAGAATTTCCACTTATTGAGATCTTATAATATCCAGACTCTGCTAAGCACCCTACAGGAGAACATTTAATCCTCCCAATCTATCCCCATGAAATATTTCATCACCATTTTAGAGACGAAAAATACTGAGGCTGACAGACTTCAGTAAGGAGTCAGTCTAGCCTAATCACTGGAGGTGGGCAAAACTTTTTTTTTTTTGAAGATTTTATTTATTTATTTGACAGAGATCACAAGCAGGCAAAGAGGCAGGCAGAGAGAGAGAGGAGGAAGCAGGCTTCCTGCTGAGCAGAGAGCTCAATGCGGGGCTTAATCCCAGAACCCTGGGATCATTACCTGAGCCGAAGACAGGCTTTAACACACTGAGCCACCCAAGTGCCCCTGAGGTGGGCAAACCTCATACAAGCTAGTGACCTCGCTCCTCTGTTTCATATTCTTCATCTGTAATACAGAGATGAGTTCTTACCTCCATGAGGGTTGCAGGGTTTAAAAGAAATAACACTTGGATGTTTATCAGAAATCCTGACATGCTGTTAGTCATTATAAATGATAGCTGTTTTCATTAAACACTGGGGTGGCATTTAGGACCCGCCCCAGGGGAAGCTCAGGGACTGGGGTGGAGGTGAGCCCAGCACGCAGGTCCTTTGGTGCCCCAGTTCCCATTCTCCAGCCTGCCTTCTGCCTCTCCCACTGAGCATTGCCTGCCAGGGCTGTTGAAAGAACCACCTCTACCCGCCAAGATCTTCCTGCCTCTTGAGGCCAGTCACAGGCATGTCTCTGCAGGGAAGGTGGCTTGGGTCTAATTATCACTGGCAGGAGCAAGCTCAGGGCTTTAATGTTCATGCCCCAATGTAGGGGTTCCATACACTCAGGGCCTGCAGGGGCAAGACCAGCCTCTGTGGAGCATCCACATGTACGGGGTGGAGATGTGAGCAACATCCCCTTCCTCCAACGGGCCAGTGGTCAGTAGTCTGTGTTCCCAGATGCTCTGGACACGACCTGCCAAGGTGGGGAGGTGTCCACCTGACTCTGGGTAGCAGAGGGGTTCGGGGGTGAACGAGCAGCCAAGAGTGGTCAGAGAGCTCTGATGAAGCCCCCTAGTTCTGCCCTAGCATCTTCTGATGCGATAAGAAAATCCTCTCCTCTAACCTCTGCTTGAATGGCGGTGACACCTGGGAATTCACTACATCCTGAGACAGCCGGCACAGTCAGCTCCCCGTTAGAAAGTCCCTCTCTGCGTTCCTTGTGATACCTAATAGTGTGTCACTGTGATGGGTGGCACCTGTCCCATGCATCTCAACCTGCCAAAACCCTCCCCTCAGACCACCACAACCGGTGACAGAGCGCTTGCCAGCCCATGGCAGCGTAACTCGTTCTGGGCACCGTGATGAGCTTTCACTGGGCCAAACATATCCAAATGTGTGGGACGCCCTCCCTTCGCCTCTCATCCTTCCTTCTCTTGGGGTGTCAAAGGGAAGGTGTTCTATAATTGTGGTGCTAGCAGATGTTCACTGTTTCTCTTTGTCCTCACTTGGCAAAATTAAAAATTAAGCATTGGCGATCTTATGTTTCTCCCTCCCCTAAATATATATAGATAGATTGTGTAGTGCGTGATCTCAGCCTCTGCCTGGGAAGGAAACAGCAGTAGCCTCATTTTACAGAGGACAAAGTGAGGCTCAGGGAGAAGAAGTAATGACCCAGGGTTACACAGCCAATGGGTCGTAGGTCAGGCCCCAAAGCCTTGGATTTTGGCCTCCAAAGTCTGTGTTCTTGCCTTTCTCTCTCTTTTTTGGAGCCAATTTCCTGTCCTCCGGAGCTTCGAAGAACAGATCTGTTTGGAGGCAGCCTTCAGGCTCCTCTTCTGGGGCTCCCCCTCCCCCAGTGCTCACAAACCTCCCCCAGCTTCCCTGCCCCTGCCTCTTGCTTACCTTCCTTCAGACTGACCCTGGGGGGCTCCCAACCCACACGGAGCATGGCTACTCCAAGCAAACACCATATCCATCTCCGCCACTCCCTCCCCTCCCCATCTCTGGAACAAGCACCCACATTTCATTTTCCAGCAATTTCTGCCAGGCAAGGCTGCTTGCCAATTCCAAGGGAAGGGTGTTTAATAACTGTCTCTCTGCCCCCCGCCCAGGTGCCCCTTCCACCAGCCCAGCCTGGCGCTGGCGCCTACATCCACCCAGCACTGCTGGGACTTGCCCCACGGGCTTGTAAACAGCGGCTGCACCCAGGTGAGGGTGCAGCAGGGTGAGGTGACTCACAGCTCCAAGACTCCTTCCTTCCTCCCTTCCTACCCTGCTCTTCTTGTTCAGTCCCCCGAGCAAGGCCTTTGGTCAGTGTTGGGATGACCTGGTAAGTAGGAAGCCCAGAGCTTCACCAGGTGGAGATACCCTCCCCCAAAGCAGCCAAGCACCTTTTCAGAGCACAAGGCCTTGGGAAAGTATCCTGAGGAGTCCCTTGTCCTGGAAGAGGCCCTCCAAACACAGCACAGGAGAAGGAGTCAGATTCCTCCCCTCTGGCTGTGTGGCATCGGATAACTCCCTTAACCCTTCTGAGCCTTGATTTCTCATCTATTATATGGAATTCGTAATATTTTCTAGTTCAATAGAGTTGTTGTGGGGGTTAAATGAGCTAGTACAGGTAACGTGTTTGCAACAGTGCTGGCACACAGCACTCAGTAAATACCAGCCTTAAAAATTCTGCAGTGAATGCCAGCCCCATTGCCACATTTCTCTGAGCCTCAGTTTCCTCCTGAGGAATGTTGGCATTGGGCATAAGGGCCGAGAGGATTGTGGGTAAAAACACGATGAAGTCCTATAAAAATAGAAGTTGCGCTTGCCAAACTTCCAGAAGAATCCACCCCATTCCAAGACCTCTACTTTTTCAGAACCCACAACACATTGTGCCAAATAGTCTTTTCTTACCCTTGGCAGAGGGACTCCCCCCTTAGCTGGACAGTGTCAGCCTCTGGCCAATAGTGGCCTCAAAAAGCAAGCAGGCAGGAGGAGTTCTCCAAAGCTCACCATGGGCCAGGATCCAGGCACCATTCATCAGTGTCTTTTATCGTTACCACAACCTCAGGAGGTTAGTTTTAGATCCCCACTTTGTAGATAAGAAAACTGAGGCTCACAGTGTCTAGGAAAGTTACCTGATGCCTCTTGGCGGGAAAGTGCAAAACGAGGACTCACACCCAGGTTTGTCTGATGGCAAAGCCAGGCCTGTTCCTACACCCCTTGGAACAGCATGCCCGGGTCAGCCTGCCAGCCCCCACCCCTCATCTGATGTAATCCTCCACCCCCACCCGAGCCTAAGCAGGCTCAGACAGAAGGACTAACCGCCAGCAGGCTCTGAGGTCCTACCCGGGAGCGGGCTGGGGCAGGCAGGGATTCCACAGAGTAGGAGGGAGTTGGTTCATGGCCAAAGCCCAAGGGGGATGGGAGGCTGGCAGACAGGGGCTGAAGGTGCAGTTTCCTGCTGACTTTGCCCCAGTTTCCATCCTGGGAAGCCAGAGACAGGACTCGACAGGCCTCTAGGAGGGAAGCTAGGTAGCCCCCATCTACTCCCACTTTTGCTGGAACAGCACCAAGGACAGTTCCCCTCCCCCAGGTCAGGAGGTGGGGTGTCCATACTCACCATGGGGAAAACCACAGGGCACCCCACTCCAGGGAGGAGCAAGTTCTCAGAACAAGAGCCCTGGGTGCCCACATTGGGGAATAGAAGAAGCGTTGGAGTGAGTCACCACCCTGGGCCATGTTTGATAACCATCAACTGCCTACCAGCTAAAAGCATGACCTGGGAGGTCCACAGCTGGATAGTGTAGCAAACCCTGGCCTCTGGGAGCCCCTGCTCTAAAGCAGAGTTCTAAGACTCTAAAGTGCTCTCAGACGCCAGGGAGTCTAGCTAAAATGCAGATTCTGCTTCAGTGGGTCTGGGGTGGAAACAGATTCTGCACATCTGACCAGCCCCCAGGTGACATGGCGCTGCTGGGCAGGGGGCCACCGAGCTGTGGCTTGGTGCCCAGTGGAATGGGCTGGGGAACTAAACCAGCCTGATGTCTGGGTCCACACTGGAGATTGTCATCTATCTGCCACAGAGGGTAGCCTGAGTATCAGGACTTTGAAAAGCTCATCGGGTGATTCTAGTGTGCAAACAAGCATGAAAACCCCTCCGTGCCTTGGTTGTAGGCACAGATGTAGAAACAGCCTTCACCAACCCTGAACAATGGAGCCATCAGAAGATGTGACTGGCGCCCTCTATAAGCAGTCCTTTCAACCTGGGGAGGGGGACATTCACACAGGAAAGGATTTGCTATTTTTAAAGTATTTGCCGTGTGCCAAGAACAGTGCTATGCCACCTGCATTCATCTCACTTCATCCTTACTTACCAAGAGACTGGATATAGTCAGCCCCGTTCACGAGGGTGAAAGCCGAGGCTCTGGTTGGTGAAGTCGTTTGGCCAAGTGCTCTAATAGTAAGTGGCAGAACCAGATCTGAAACCCAGATCTATCAGACCCCCACGCCTGTGTTCATTCCACTGCATCCCCCCACCAGAAGGAGGAATCACAAGGAGGGTGACTTTGGAACTGCGCCTAGAAGGGGGAGCTGGGTGCTAACCCTAACCCAGCAAACTTGTCCTCTCTTGGAGCCTTGGTTTCCTCATCTGCCTAAAGGAGGGGAGACCAGAGGTTCTGAAAGACTCTTCCAGAATTCTTGTTCTGGGAGTCCAGGTTCCTAGGTTTCACTAGTGCTCTGCTCTCTCCCCAGACATAAAGTACATCGAGGTGAGCTCCACCAGATCAAGGGGTCCCGATGGCCCCCAGTGCTGCTCCAGCCCATCTGCCACCCCGCCCTTTGGCTCCCCACGCAGTGGTGGCCTCCTCCTTTCCAGAGACATCCCTCGAGAGACTCGAAGCAGCAGTGAGAGCCTCATCTTCTCTGGGAGCCAGGGCAGGGGGCACCAACGCACCCCTCCTCCTTCAGGGGCTCCCTCTTCCCATCCTCCACCCTCTCCCAGCATCTCCATCCCCTGCATGAGGAGCAAGGCCTCGGGCTCCCACGGCTTGGGATCCCCACTGGCGGCTTCTCCAGGCTTAGAGAAGGGGCTGGCCCCACAGCGAGGCAGCCGGGTCTCTGTGCTGTCAGCCAGCCCAGTGTCCGATGGCAGCTATGTGTTCGGAAGGTAGGTCGCTCCCACTATAGCTTCTGATATTGTCTGCAACACACACACTCACACACATGCACACACCCTAAAATCAGACAGGCACCCTGTTCTAGCTGAGCAAAATCAGGGTGCACACCAAAAAAAAAGAGTGAATATTCTCTTTTTTTTTTTTTAAGATTTTATTTATTTATTTGACAGACAGAGATCACAAGGAGGCAGAGAGGCAGGCAGAGAGAGAGGAGGAAGCAGGCTCCCCGCCGAGCAGGGAGCCCGATGCGGGGCTCGATCCCAGGACTCTGGGATCATGACCTGAGCTGAAGGCAGAGGCTTTAACCCACTGAGCCACCCAGGCGCCCCTGAATATTCTCTTTTATGCCATCACATTTGGACCTCAAGCTTTCCTCAAGCACTTAGACTATAACTCAATACACAAAATTTTTTGATTTATGCTGACCTCTTGGTAGGAGAATGGTTACATTCATGAGGCTCACCTGTATCCTTTCCAGCACTCACACAACCAATCTCAAAGAAGGGATTTTTTTCTCTTCTTTTTTTTTTTTTTAAAGATTTTATTTATTTATTTGACAGAGAAAGATCACAAGTAGGCAGAAAGGTAGGCAGAGAAAGAAGGGCTTTTTTTAAAACGTCAAAACACAGGGATGTAAATAAAATTTGGAGGCCTAGGGTAAACCATTAAGGAAAGAAAAGCCTCCTTCCTTCTTCCCTAGCAGGAGGGAGGCAAGCTTGCCTGGGCATTATTTGTTGCTAGCAAAACCTAGCAGGAGGGGGGGAAACTGCCCAGTTTGCTGGCCCCACAGTAGAGCTGCACACACACACACCCAACCTGCACATGAGGACCACACCACAGGACCTCTGTCCCCCCACACCGACTCCAAAGCTGATGTGCCAAGGCGGTCCTTGGCAAGGAGGCCAGGATTCCACAGCCATGGCCGTTGGCATGGGCCTCCAAGCTCAGAGAAAAGTCTAGCTGGATGCAGAGCTGGCCTCCTCCTCTTCCTCCAGCTGGGGAGTTCCCTCTGCATCCGCCATGGACGTGGTCCAGCCAGAGTGCAGGGCTCGCTCTTGCGAATTTCGGGTACTTATGTGATAGCTCAGTCAGACCTGCCCGGCTGGGAAGACGGAGGATATCCAGTCCAGCCTAAGCCCACATGACCTGCAAGGGATCAGCTCATTAGCTACTTTAAATGACCAAAGACTCTGCAGTACAGGGACATTTCTGTATCCTTCAGCATCCCTTGGGGATGAGGTGGCCATGTACTTTGCTCTGGGCTGTGGGGGATGGAGTATGCAATATTCGATTTAACCAGAGCTGTGGGCACCCAGATCAATAGATTCCAGAGCCTGCCTCTGGCTCCTGCATGTCCACTGACACCCTAATATCCTGCCTGTCTGGTGTCCTCCTTGCAGCAGCCAGTCCCTCATCCACTCCAGCGTTTCCAGCCATCAGTCATCTTCTAGATCCTTGGAAAGCCCAGCCAGCTCTTCCTCCAGCCTCCACAGCCTGGGCCAAGTGTCCCTGTGTACAAGAGCCAGCGACTCTCAGGTCCCCGGCAATCCCACCTCAAACATGGGCCAACCCAGAACAACTCATTCCCCGCCAGCTGCCAAGGAGCATGCCAGCAGCTGTCCACCATCCATCACCAACTCCATGGTGGACATACCCATCGTGCTGATCAATGGCTGTCCAGAACCGGGGTCTCCCCCAACCCAGCAGATTCCAAGACACCAGGACTTTGTCCGACCTGGGGCCACTTCTTCCAGCAACTCTTGTCCAGCCACCAGGAGCCACAGCCAGACCCTGCCAGATGCCCCTCTCACCACAACCTCGGAGGGTATGTTGTAAACCAGTCCTTCAGCCATTGTGAGGTTTGGCTTGGAGGCATAGACAAAGCATCAGTGGGTTTCTGCAACAGCAGGTCCATGTGCTAAATACCTACTGTGTGCCAGGCAGTTCGCCAAAGAGTAGAGACAGAGACGGACACAGCTTCAAAAGAGACAAAAACCAAAGATCACTATAGAGTAGAACAAACACAGAAGTAGAGATGTCCTAAGTCTTATGGGGCCACAAAGTAAGGGGTGATCTTTTTTTTTTTTTTTTTTAGATTTTTTTTATTTATTTATTTATTTGACAGACAGAGAAGGGGTGATCTTTTTAGTCTAAACAACTCCTTGGAGTTTTTTACTCCTTGGAGGAAGTGACATCTGAGTTGGATCTGGAAAAGAGGATCAAATGTCTAGAGCCAGAGCAGGACAGGAGGGGCCTTCCGAGCAGAGGGAACAAGTCCATGGTCATGGAGGTGTAGAAGAACAAGCATGTTCAAGGAATGACTGGAGTGTTGGGTGTGGGATGAACTGGTTGAGAAATCTGGAGCGAGATTGTGAAAGGTCTTGAACACCAAACTAAAGGATGGATTTTCCCCGTTAGACTGCAGGGTAGGGGGTGAGGACGGGTCTAGCGGGAGTCTCAAACAGGAAAGTAATGGGGTCAGAGGTATACATTTAATAGATCACCCCAGCAGCTGGCAGTTGACTTGCAGGGCCCGGCCTGGACAGGGAGAGCAGCTTTGTTTTTATTTTCATCATGAAGTGGTCCAGACAAACTGTAACGGGGGGCCTGCACCAGGGCAGGGCAGGGCGGAGGGGAGAAGACAGAGCCAGGAGACCCTCGGGATATGAAAACAGCAGGCTTGATGACTAACCCAAGAGAGAGAGAAAGAGAAGGAGAGTCAGTCCTACCTCTGACGTTCGTGGATGACGAGTACACAGAGAGCAGACGGAGACAATGCATTCCAATTCAGACAGCTAAAAACCACAAAGCAGAAAACACCCTCCTTCCCGTAGTCTGTGACTACAGGCGTCCAAAAAGAACAAAACCAGCCAGAACCCAAAGCCGTAAACACAGAGGCTCAGGCTTAGCACCCGCAGGGTACACGTCTCCAGAGTAGAGCCCCCCGCCCCCCGGCAGAGCCCCAGGGACACTGTCCCCCCTCTCCCCTGTCACTCAGCCAGGGTGAGAGGCGTCAGGGTGACACCTAGGGGTGTGAGGTTCAGTCTGGCCCGCACTGCCATGCAGGAAGCCATGTCAATGTAAGCAAAAATGGCACGACAGGTGTGCCTTTGATCTGCTCTGATCGTTTTCCCAGGACAAATCATTTGCATTTTAGTACTTTTTTTTTTTTTTTTAATAATGAGTTACTCTCAGCTGGCCACAACACATCTTTTCAAGGTGCCAAAATTGAGAACCACTGTTCTCTGCCTTAGGGACCTGGGGAGATGGCCATTGTGTCATGGCAGAGAGCACATTTACTTAGTCCGGTGATATTCCCATCCTGGCTTGGTGATGCCCCGGGATATCACTAATTATACCCTGGGGTCTTATCAGATTCCACAAACTGTTCTCAAAACAAAATCCACCCTAATTGCCTAGGCTATTGGAACGTCAAAAACCCTCAGATACTGCTTAGTACACTCAGTCCCCTCTGAGCTTTAGAAGCAAGACTGTTGTCCCAAATCAGAGTCAGGAATCCTGTCTCCTGACTTCTGCTCAGGCTCATCCAACCAAATCTGCAGCCTTTCTTTCCTCAAACTTTTCTTTCATTTTCTTCTCCAAACTTAATATGCCCCCAAAGACCCTTGTAGGATTCTTAAGGGGGAAGAGAAGTTAAAACCAAACACAATGCCTCTCAGAATCCCTTGTCTCTTCTTTCCATCCCCACCAGACAACACAAGATTTGAGAAACTGTTTCTCATTAAACTGAGATTTTATCTGTTTGTGATTCATTACCAAGGATACAAGGGGAGACTCCTAGGTCCTAGATGTGCCAAGCCCTGAATTCTTCTGTTGGATTTTGCCTCTTGTAGGCAGATGGAGATACAATGGGGTTGGGATAGGGTAGGATGGGTTGAATGGGACCACTGGGCAGAGGTGGGTGAAGGGTGTCTCAGCTCCCCTCTGTCCAGCCTAAAATGTTCTCCCCTCTCTGTCTCCAGGTCCCACCAGGGACATGCAGCCCACCATGAAGTTTGTGATGGACACGTCTAAATACTGGTTTAAGCCAAGCATCACCCGGGAACAAGGTAAAAGGAAGTGCTGTGTTTCAAGGGATGAGTGATCCAGGAGTCAAGTCTGGGTCTTGTACCTTATATCAGGCAGATGGGGCCCTGGGTATGGTACGGTACAGTACGGTAGGGGAGGGAATGGCAAATGGTAGGTCCAGGGAAGGGGGATATCATGAAAACCCCATGTCCTGAGGAAATAGGGGCTGCAGCAGGAAGGGTGGAGATTAGACAACAGGAAGGACTTCCTGGGAACGCAAGGTGATTCTGTAATGTCTGCTCTATGAAGATTCAATGGGGCTGGGAGACAGGGGGTATCCCCTGCAGGTGGGGGTGGGTGGCTAACTCTCTCTGACTCAAGGATTGTTCTAGCAATTGAGCTGCTGAGAAAAGAGGAGCCTGGGGCTTTCGTCGTGAGGGACAGTTCTTCCTACCGAGGTTCATTTGGCCTTGCCTTGAAGGTCCAGGAGGCCCCTGCTCCTGCCACGAACCGGTCAGGTATGCACCCGCCTTTTTATTCAAGGCCTCACAGAGGCAAGGGGCTGTGGTAGGTTCTAGTCCTAGCTCCCCCGATACCTTGCAGCCAGCCCGCAAGGACTCCTGGGAGGTGGGCCCACCTCCGTGCTCTTCCAGCTGCCTTCCTGCACCAAGGCTCTGTAAGGAGCTCCTTCCACGGCAAACCTGAGTTTCCTCTGCCTCCAGGAGTCCCCAGATTCCCTGCGCTCTCATGGGGGCAAGAGGAGGGAGTTTCCAGCCCCTCTTCAGGATGCTCTCCTCTGTACCCCACCCAGCTGTCCAGACCAGCCTTATTGTGAGGGAACCTGATGTGGTAATAACGTGTGTGTCCCAGCTTGTCACATGTATGCGAGGGTTTCTCACGTGTGATAGCTTATTGAGGGTATGCCCTAGCTTATTACACGTGCATGATAGCTTATCACATATGTGCTGGTTTATCACACTTGTGATAGCTTATCACATGTTTTCCCATGGTCTCACACACGCAACACACATCTCTGGGGTATCCCTCCTGCCCTGGGATACCTCGCTGGGGAAAGAGGTATAATGAAATGTACTATAATGAAAGATCATTATAGTACAAGGTACCTAAGTTACAGCCCCTCCCCAAGCCCCAGGGTATAGCTCCATGTAACAAAAGGGTCAGGTAAATGGGGCTCCAAGAGTTAGTTAATGACCGCCCGCCCCACCCCCTCCAGAGCAAAGACAAAAACCCCAACTTTGTGCTCTCTACACTATGCCGCTCTGGTTAAATCAGAACGTGAGATCTGGAGCAGTGCTGGTTTTCAAGGAAGCCTTGCCAACAAGCCCAGAGAGGAGGAAGCCATGGGCTGGTGGAGAAGAGCAGAGGGGTACTGTTTCCCTCCAGGGCCAACCAGCTCCAGTAGGGACCATCTGGTGGAGAATAACAGCTCCTGGGAAGGACTGGGTAGAGGGAGAGAGAAATTAGGCTGATGGATTAAGATTTCATCCCAGTAGTTGTTGGGACCATCCCTGGTAGCCCTTGAGACCAAGAGAAAGTTCTCCTAAAAGGAGAATTACTGGATGCAGAAGCCTTAGAGCAAACATGTTGGGACCTCCTTTGTGGGAGGCCTTAAAGATAGGGTCCCACCTAGCAGTCCCACCCCGAGGCAGGTGACGAACCAGTTAACCTCTGGGTGCACCTAGAGGAGGCGGGTCAGGGAATGAGTGGGTCAGTGTTCATTGAACACTGGGCTCTGGAACTCCCATCCTCATGCACTCTTTCCTCTGTCCTTGTCCAGGTGAGGACAACAGCGACCTCATCCGCCACTTCCTCATCGAGTCTTCTGCCAAAGGGGTGCATCTCAAAGGAGCAGACGAGGAACCCTACTTTGGTGAGCCTCTCCAGCCTGCAGGCCATGGGGGTAGGGGGAGCTCTTCTGAGCTGGGAGCCTGGCCTGGGGAAAGCCTTCTCACACAGGGCTATCTGTTTCCTTGCAGGGAGCCTCTCTGCCTTTGTGTGCCAGCATTCCATCATGGCCCTGGCCCTACCCTGCAAACTCACCATCCCACAGAAAGGTGGGTCTGGGCCCCAAAGAGACAACACCAGGGCACTAGAAAGACTCCTAGTGGTCACATCCCACCTTATTTATGGATTAGTGTCACAATTAAAAGTGATTTGCCTAGCATCCCCTAGCATCTCCACTTCCTGGCCTGAGAATTTGAGAATGTCGACCTCTGTGAACCTCTGTTTCCTCTTCTATGAAATGAAGACAGCTGTCATCATACTTACTTACAGGATTGGCTGGGGGTTAAAAGAGCTGGTCCAGGCAAGGCTCTTATCACAGAGTATATATTTGATAAACAGGAGCCTTCTTCGAGAGGATGAAAGGAGCATAAAGCAGCCAGTTTGGAGAGGGCAGGGTTTTTTTCTCCCAGATCCAGCCTTTACTGGGCGCTCCCTCGTTCACATGTCCCTCACCACAACTGTGTCAAATAGGTGTTATCCCCATTTCATGGATGAGAAAAGGAGGGCTCGTGGAGCTGAGTAACTTGCCCAAAGACACACAGATCAGAACTCAAACGAAGATCAGGAAGTCCCATCCTGAGCCCCCAGCCCCGCCATGCCAGCAGCCAGAGTAGATAATCTCTGAGTGTCCAGGACAAGCAACTGAGGGGTTCTGGGAGAGGACATAGAGCAGGGGGATCCCCCGGTGTAGTGATGGGAAAAGCCTCCCTACATTCCGCAAAGAAAGGTGTGGGTTTGGGGTGGGGTCTGAAAGAAGGATCAGAGGCGTCTGAGGACCAGGTGACTGCCCAGTCCTGGGGCTGGAGGAGTGGGGGGGGCGGTCAAAAGGCTTGCAAGTCAGGCATCTGGGGAGCCCCAAGTGGCCCTGTTTGTCTAATTAGGGTAATCACACCAGGTTTCTCAATGGCTTGCTTCCTGGGTGCAGAGGTGGGAGATGTTCAAAGGGATTAATGTTCCTTTGTTCACTCCACCCACCCCCCACCCCGCCCCCTCTGGGGCCTGTTACTTTGCTTTGGCTCAGAATTGGGAGGTGGAGTCTCCTCGGACACTACAGACAGCCAGGCCTCCTGCCTGAAGAAATCTGCAGGTAAGCGGTGTGGGGGAGGCTCCAGGCTTGCCTGCACCCCCGGAGGATGCCTCCCAGCCCCCCCTCCACACACACGTGCTCGCACAGGTTCACACATGTTCCCACTCCAGCTCTGTTTCTTCGTCCTTAAAGAGGTGCCCCGAGGTCCTCCCCGTCCCTATAAACCTAGAGATGAGAGGCTGCAAGCCTGGGGGTGAGGAGTGCAGGGGCGGCAGGGGGCGCGGTTGGTGGGTTTACACCCCATCCTGGACACACATGGGCACATATGTACGTGCTGGGGTCTCTTTGGTTCTGAGGGACCTGCCCTAGAGGAGATCTCTGGGTCCGGGATCCTCTGTGGAGTGTCGGGTCCAAGTCTTGGGGGTTTCAACAGGGGAAAGGTTGCTCCTCTTCACAGCCAGACACCAGGCACAGACCAGCACTTGTCTAAGTGCCTCCACCCCATTCTTGTCTTTCACCTTCTCTTGTCAATGAACCAGGGCCGCAGGGTGGGTGGAGGAGGTGGTGGCAGGGCCAAGCATGCTTCTCGACAGAAGGAAGATTTGCCTGGACATCCCTATACAGAGAGCAACAGCCCCTCCTTTACTCGGCCCCAGAGGGTCAGAGGCCAGAGCAATGCAGAGCAACGTCCACTGGAGTTGGCCTTGAATTTCAGTCACCTCCACAACTCCTGCCTGCCTGCCTGGTGGCTCAGAGGAATCCCTGATTCCTGAACAAGGAAGAGCCCAGACACCTGGCTCTGGGCAGAGGGAGGACTAGGGCAAGGGGGAACGCTTCCTGCCCCTGCATGGTGGATCCTGGCAAGGCCTGAGCACAGCGTTTACCTCCCACAGGCTGCCATGCCCTGTACCTGACTTCTGTGAGCGTGGAGACCCTGAGCGGAGCCCTGGCCGTGCGGAAGGCCATCTCAACCACCTTTGAGAGGGACGTCCTCCCCACACCCACTGTGGTCCACTTCAAAGTCACTGATCAAGGCATCACACTGACCGATGTCCAGAGGAAGTAAGGGACTTCCCTTACCCTGGGGCTGCTGGGCAGGACAGGGGGATCTGGAGGGGATAGCTGAGATGGCTGTGGATCACTAATGAAGGTACGATCCAGGATCCTGGACTCCATATGGTCGGTGGCTTGCTGAGTGACTCCAGACAAGTTCTCTGCACTCTCTGGGCCTCATGCCAATGACCTGCTACCAAAGTCCCCCTTCCCCGAAACTGATGGAGATGGAATTTACCAGTATCCATTGGGCCCTGGTTAAATCGGCATCCCCTGATGGAATGACCGCAGAAGGCCAGACTCTGGCTGCCCACTGGGACACAGTGGATGGAATCCCTCCTTCCCAGGGCTCAGGGCTTCCCAGTCTAGCAGGCGCCTGGTCCTGGGCTGGAGGAACAATAGATGAGCAAGACATCATTCCCATCCTCAAGCCGTTAAATGACACCGTGGGCAGAGGGCGGAGAGAGGGCAGAAAACCTAAATATATAAGACACAAGGCAGAGTCACTCCATGAAAAGACAGAAGTTCAGGGCACCTGGGTATGTCAGTCCATTCAGAGTCTGCCTTTGGGCTCGGATCATGATCTCGGGGTCCTGGGATCCAGCTCTGCACCGGGCTCCCTGCTCAGCGGGGAGTCTGCTTCTCCCTCTCCCTCTGCCCCTCCGCTTGAGTTCTCTCTTTCTCTCTCTCAAATGAATAAAAAAATCTTAAAAAAAAAAAAAAAAAAAAAAGGAAGGGCACCTGGGTGGCTCAGTGGGTTAAAGCCTCTGTCTTTGGCTCAGGTTGTGATCTCAGGGTCCTGGGACTGAGCCCCACATCAGGCTCTCTGCTCAGCAACAAGCCTGCTTCCCCCTCTTTCTCTCTGCCTGCCTCTCTGCCTACTTGTGATCTCTGTCTGTCAAATAAATAAATAAAATCTTTAAAAAAAAAAAAGAAAAGAAAAGAGAGAAGTGCAAACATATGCCCCAGGGCCCAGTAGTGGGAAAGTACGTGCCAGGCTGTAAGGGGTCTAATTGGGAGGCTTCTTGGAGAGCGGGGCATCTAAACTTTGGGAAATCTGGAGATGATGGAGGTAGGACACGGCACTGGGACCAACTCTCACCAGCTGTCCTTCTCTTCCAGGGTGTTTTTCCGGCGCCATTACCCCCTCACTACCCTCCGCTTCTGTGGCATGGACCCCGAGCAACGGAAGTAAGTTCAAGGCTGGGCCAAACTCAAAAAGCCATCCAAGGCCCAGCTGCCCACTGAAGTTTCTTGCTGACTCTGGGACTGGGGTCACAGACAAAGCCTGTGAACCTCGAGTGTCCAGGAACAACAGGATGAAGGGAGGGGACCCGGTGGGGCGTGGTCATAGCTGGCCATTGTCTCCAGCTCCTCAGCCAGAGTCCTGTGGAATGCAGAGAAGCCTCAGTACTCATTCCTGTCCATCTTCCTTTCCCACAGGTGGCAAAAGTACTGCAAGCCCTCCTGGTAAGGCCTTCAGTCAGTCACCCTGTCAGTCACCCTGAAAGGTCTCCCTGGGCTAGAAACTGGGACCCAACAAGAGAAGGAACTCGGGGAAGGAGGGAGGTCTTCTTAAGACCTTAAGAGAGCCCGTGGTTTTGATGGGGGTGGCACAGGTCCTCAGAGATCCTCCAGTCTGAAGGGGGAGACATGAGCCTGGGAGCCCTCGGTCTTAGGTAGGAGGCACGGGCTCTAATCTCAGGGAGCCTTAACTGATGGGGATGCTGCAGTCTGATGGTCAAAACACGTCCTTGCCCTCAGGAAGCTTCTACTCTGAGGAGGAATACATAGGTCCTGTCCTGAGGGAGCTCTCATTGAAAGGAGAGAAACCCGGGTCTTAAACTCATGAATCTCCCAGTCTGACAGAGGAGGTCCATCCTACCCTCAGAGAGCTGGGGAAGGGGTAGGGCAGAGCACCAAACTGATCTCACCCCTCCCAGCCTCTCTGAGACCCACCACTTCACTCAGGCTATGTTCTCCCACCAGGATCTTCGGGTTTGTGGCCAAGAGCCAGACAGAGTCACAAGAGAATGTGTGCCACCTGTTTGCGGAGTACGACCCAGTCCAGCCAGCCTCCCAGGTCATCAGCCTTGTAGGTGCCCTGCTGCAGGACACAGAAAGGATGTAGAGGAAGGGAGCTGCCCGCGCACCTTCCCTGACATCCCAAGAGGGCTGGAACCCCTGAGCGGGAGCTTGTGGCCACACTAATGAGCTAATCTATTGGACTGGAGGAGAACGTTACCAAGTGAAACCCTGGAAACCCTATGACAATCAGCAGTGACCTTCATCCAGACCCAGCTGTCTCAGTTTCCTCAACCATAAAAAGAGGCCAATAGACAGGACCAGCTATGCTTCTCAGACTTTGATGAGATCTTAACAAGCTCCCTGCAATTCAGAAGCATGCCCACATCTGAGGACCCTGCATGGAAACAACCTCTGAGGACGCCTGCCTCCATCAGCTGGGACACTACAGACACAGCACAGAGTTAGAGACCTGCGACTCTCTATCATGGCGAACAGCAGGTGCTGGGTCAGGACCCATGGACCCCTCGCACAAGGCTGACCTGGGAGAGGTGATATGCAAGGATCCACCGAAGGATGGATAGATGGACTCTACTTCCCTCCAGATCTGTTCCTTTCCCCACTCCCATAATGGCTTCTTGGGCAGCTGTTCCCAGGACAAAGCAGAATCTGTCTGCCCTGGACTCTTTAAGACAATGTGGACACGGTTGTCAGGGCAGCTTAGCAAGGGGGAACTTGTCCCCAAGGTCAGAGACCACCCAGCTGCCCTCATGTTCTTGATGTCTAACCCCCACCACTGCAAATGAGTATCAGCCCCATCTTTTCTCTCAATTTTTTGGGTAGCAAGTGTCCCCCAGCAGGCGTCACAATAGCCCTCATGCTGTCCATGTAACCCACAAGAGGTAGGTGGGGGCAGGGAGATCCCCCCGCTCTCCGGAGCAGACACAAGGACCAGCTTTCTCTGGTTCTGCCTCAGCTCCAGACCTGCTGATTGCCCCCTACTCTCCAAAACACACACATAGACACATAGACAGGCCCAACAGGAGGGCATCTACTGTCCTTACAGCCACACGGGGGCAGCAGAGAGTCATGAATGCGTGCAGGCAGCCAACTCAAGAAGTTTGGAGAAGCTCGGCGATCTTTCCCCCACCCCCACTTCCATCAAAATTCCCAAGAAGCTGGAATCATTTGTGCAATAGGTCTGGGGTCCTAAGAAAACCATACCGTGAGGATGGAAGCGGAGGCTCAGAGAAGAAGCCCACTTTTGTTCTACAAGGAGCAAGTGCCCGCCCCCTCCCAGCTGTGGGCCCTGCCACCCATCGTTATCATTATCTTTGGCCAAAGTTGGGTCTGACGGATTGTGATTTCAACCCAGGAAACCAAAACAGACTGAGGCTGCCCTGGGCTGGTGCGACTGGCTGAGAGAAGCCCACCCAGCCTGTGCTCAGGAACTGCCCCATCCCTGGAGAGTAGAAAGCACTAGACAGGTTCTTAAGGTCATATTCAGGAGGTGGGCAGAGAGACCCCCTTTTATCCATGGGTGGCTGTGTAGTTCCCGTGGAAAATGAAGCGTCTGTCTTGACAAAACAATCGGTTCTAAGGCATTCAGGGCAGCCCGCTCAGAGGTGGAGACCTGAACAGAGAGGGGACCTGAGTTGGCAGGCGGTGGCTGTGTTGTAGAGAACACTCCTTCCAACACCCCTGGTCACAGCAGTACAGTCTGCACAGGCTTCCCTTCGTAAACCATCTCTTCAAACCATTCTGTGCCCCCACATGGCCCAAACACGCGGTTTTCTCCCTTGTGACTCCCTGGTCGCCTTTCTGCCAGGAAGACGAGTTGGGATCTCGCCCATATCCCAGAGCTGAAGGTGAGTCTGTGTGGCCCCCCTGTCAGGTTCCAAGGTCTCACTTGGGCTCCCTGAGGGCCAAGGAGAGGCAGGAAAAACATGGGCAGGAGTTGGGAAGGGTCTCCAAACCCAAATGAGCCCTAAGCTACCAGCTCAGCCCTAGAAAAATAGACAATGGCTTCCTCATCCTGCCCTGGGCCTGGGGGTTCTACCACCAGCTTCTGCCAGCCGGCAGTCCAAGCCTTGGCAAGTGGTAGAAGAGGGGCCTCAGGAAATCTGCTTTCCGAAGGGCCTTAGGAAGGAGAGCTGCTGCTTCTGTTTAAGCTGGGTTCTGTGACTCCGTGGCAGGAGCTGCCCTGGAGGGCCTGCAAAGAGACCCTCCCAATGGCCTTGAATGGCTGTTGAGGAGACTGCCTCCCCTCCCACGACCAAACTTGAATTCCATCCTCCCACCCCAGCCCCCTCGACCTGGCCATGGACCCAGTCCATGGAAGGTAATATCTCTGCTACATTTACAACTCATCTTCCCTCCAGGAAGATTTAACAAAGAACTTGACTTAAACTTTTGCCGATGGACAGAGCAGCCAGCCCAGCAAGGATATGGGGTGGGGGGGGGGGGGATGAGCAGAGGAGAGGAAGGACAGCCACCAAGCCTGGAGCCAGGAGGGGAGGAGTCTTCATACCCCAAGGTTTTTCTGTTCAGGAGGTCCCAGGCCTTGGAGCCCTTGTTCTAAAGCCTCCCTCCCCAGTACCTTCTAATGTCACCCCTCCCAACTTTCTAGCTCTCTGCAACCCGCTGTCTACACACACGTATACCACCGACCCAGTCCTCCCTCATCCTCCCTCCCCAGGTTCTCCTCTCCCTCATCTTTCTCCAACTCATTCCTTCTTGACCTTCCTGCCTCAAACCTGTCTTTTCCCTCTTTACAGAAAAACCTTCCTCCCTCTCCCTCTTGTCCCCTGTAATTTCCACAGGTGGCCGGACCCACAGCAAAGCCTAGCTCAAGTCAATGAGAAGGAACAGGGGCAGGTACCTGCACTGCCAACCATTTTGCAAGCCTCAGACTGCCACCCTCTCTGAGCCCTGCCTCCTTTCTGGCTACAGGGTAACCTCCCCAGAAGGCTGAAACACCCTCACCCCTCTACCAAACCTCACCCCACCCCCTCTTCTGTCTGCCCATCTCTTCTCTTTCATCTTCTGCCTCCTGTCCTGGACTCTCAAGCTATCCAACAGGCTCAGGGCTTAGAGCCAGGACAGGCCTGGGAGGTGAAGGGCTCCCAACCTAGACATTGGTGCTTTGCTTCATGCAACAAGGGTTTTCTGGCTGGATGCTTTGTTCATGTGAGCCAGGAAAACAGATCAGCACAACAGCATTCTAACAGAGGTATGTGAGTGCCATGTGGGACTGGCAGGAAAAGTAGAAACAGGGAATGTAAACTTTATCCATTTGGAGGGAATGAGGGCAATGTTACCAAGGAGGTAACATTCGAGCTGGATCTTCAAGAATGAAAAGGAGTTTAGCACACAAAGAAGTGGGGAAACCAACTTTTATTGGGAGGCTCTTATGTGCTAAGTGTAATGTGAGGCACATTATATATGTTTAATCCCATTTTACTGCAGCTTGGAGGGTTAAATTGCCCATATTCTCCTAGCTGGGAAATGGCAGAGAAATGGGATTCCTGATCTGGGCCCACTCTGCCTCAGCAGCCTCAGACAAGCTGATGGATGAATTTGTGTGTGAAACACACAGGTATGACACAATACCATGTTCAGTGTGGCTAAAGTATATGGTACCCAGGGAAATAAGTGACAGAGGAAGCAAAGGGGAGTCTGGAGCCAGATTATCAAGAACCTTGGGTTCTAAGCTGAGAATGTCTAGGGAATGAATACTTGTTAAATGAATGGATGAGTGAGTGAATGAATGAATGAGGTTGAACTCAAGACCCCTCATGTACCGTTGCACAGGTTGTGCAATGCACAATCATACATGGCACCTTCCTTGGATTTCATTCTGTAGGCAACGAGGAGACATCAGAGGCTTTTTAGCTAAGGAGTAAGTGACCAGATTTGTGCTTTAGAAATATGGCCGTGGGGGCAGGAGACAAGACCTGAGGCCTGGGTTGAGGAAAAGTGTGATCAGAAGAGAAAGCTGTGAGAACTTGGAACTTCAGGCCAGGAAAAGGATAAGAGCATAAGGAGATAGGCTGGGACAGGAGCCTGCTTGATCTAGGCCTGGGTCCTGGGTTCTTCAGGCCTGAAGGGCCACATGGGAAAAAGCAGGACCAGGGCCTCCCAGTCCCCCTGGTCTTAGTCTCCTCAGGCACCATAACGCAATGCTAAGTGATTTAAACAACAGATACCTAAACTTTGTCCCTGTTCCAGAGCCTGAGGTGACAGCATGGTTGGGTTCTAGTGAGAGCTCTCTTCTCGGCTTATAGATGCCCACCTTCTCGTTGTTTGCACACATGGCCTTTCTTCAGTATGGGCTCCTCGAGAGGGAAATCTCTCTTCTTCTTAACAAGGCCCCAAGCCTCTAGCATTAGGAAGGACCCCACCCTTCTGATCTCAGTTAACGTTAACTAATTCCTAAAAATACTATTTCCAGATACAATCACACTGGGTGTTAGGGCTTATGAATTTAGAGGGTCACAATTCAATCCTGCCCCAGCCACATCCCCCACTCCCATAGCTCCCCTGTGCTGGCTGGGCCAGGGCTGTCTTCTTTCTGAACCTTGCCCTAAGAGGCAGCCAGGGCCTTGTTATGTAAGCTTCTGCTTCCTAGAAGGCATCTCAGCCTTTACCTCTCTGCAATCGGGTCTTATTGAGGAAGTCAAGTGGAGCGTGGCTTGCTGCAGGCCTGGAGGTCAGAGAGGAGAGCCAGGAGGAGGGAAAGGAGAAGGGAGAATGTTACTCACTTCACTCATTCACCAAACATTCACTCATTCACCTCATTCACTCATTCACCAAACATGTGCTGAACAGGACAGCATTAGCCATACTGGGGCTGGGCAGGGAATGGAGAAGAGGTCTGCATGTGCCCCCACAGATGTTCTATCCTCCACAGCATGAGATGTGACACCCGTGAACACTGAGATGGGACATATCATTTGTCCAGTTCTCGCCGCTCTCACCTACACACACACACACACACACACACATCACAACTTCCCTCTTCTGCATCAAGAATTAGAAGCCTGGGTGGTCAGGCAGATGTGGGTGGCAGGTCCCCTCTGCCATTGACTAGCTTCATGATTTATCAC